CTGCCCCTTACTTTTGGCCTTCGCCTTGGGCTTCGACTTGGGATTTGGACCAGGTTTACCCTTCTGACCTTGGTTTCCACCCTTTGAAGTTTTGTTGTCACCAGCCTTGTTCTGACCCTGGTTCAAACAGTTTCGACCGATGTGACCAGTCTTACCACATTTGAAACACTTGACACCAGTCATGTTTGTGGTACAGTCCTCAGTTTTGTGTGACTTCTTCCCACAACGACCGCAACCAGTACCAACAGCTGCAACTGTCTCTGAACCCTGTGCATCACCGTCACTTGAAACAACCTGTTCGCCTGCAACTCCATGCAACATGCGCTTCGAAAATGCCCCTAGCTCAACATATAATCTTTGTTGTCTCTCATACTTGAGACCTGCTGCTTGCAACGCCTCCCAAGTTTCGCTTTCTGAGTGCAACAAACAATACTGTTTCGCATCATGAGGCAAATTCCGAATAAAAAGAAGTGCTAAATCTGAAGACGTAATTTTTAAATCAGCCCTAGAAATTCCCACAGGCAACGTCTCTGCTAGCCTTTCATAGTTGTTGACTGCAACTTGAATCATGCGTACCAAGTCCGATACTACGTGAATGCTCTTTGAGTCCACTTTAAACTCTCTACGCAACAATTCTGCTCGAAGGCAAATAGCCTCCGTTCTAGTTCTCAGTGAAAACTCTAAAGCTAACACCCTGATCAGCTCGTACCCACATGAACCAAAAGGCTTTTGTGGAGAATTGTGGACTGCACATCCCGCCTCGAAGGCCCGAATGAGTGAATCACTACGATCATGGTCAGCAAATGCCACTTTCAACAGTGCAAACAGTCGACTACTCCTAGCCTGCTGACCCGGCGTCAGAGTTGAATACACTATCTCAGTAGGCCACTTGATACTTTGTTCGATCTCCGTAGCCATCTTGGACGATGCCAACTGGCACCAAGCTCTCAAAGACTGAACGTATTTGAAAAACCCTGTGATTTCAGTTTCTCGGTCACGCCAAGTGTTAGTACCTGGTACTGGGGGAGCTGGCAACCACTTTTTTGATCGACTTAGTACATCCCTTTCACCACTGACATCCCTACGACGTGCAGTGTCACCAGATGAACCATGTCCACGATCATGTCTGCGTATTGGGCTCCCGATTCGATTGAAAGAACAGTCACCATCCCCAGAATACTGCTGACCAAAAAAATCACTAGGACCCTGCATTGGAGCAGTCTGGTTTCTAACTGGATTACCCGCAGCATTCCCAGTCTCAACCTGTTCAAGTCTTCTCTCAAGAGCACCGAAACTCCTACCAATCTGCCCCTGCAAATCACTCCGCAGAGACACCAAGGCTTGAGAAATCTGCAACAACTGCGTTTCAACGTTGGTTTGTCCGTTTGTTCCAGTTTGTCCAGTTTGTCCGGGCGGCGTACTAAGCGACGGAAGACTATCATCAACCGGTACTTCATGCGCTCTCATCGCGTCTAGACCTGGACCTGCCTGCTGTCGTGCACCTCCATTAGAATTACCCAAACCTGGGGGCTGCAAACCTCCCTCCATTGCTTGAGTTGGACTCATTGGCTCCCTGCTTACGCTTGTGACAAAGGGCCCTGGAAGTCTTTCATCGCGTTGCCTTGCATGGTTATTCAACCAGTCTCTCCAAGCATCATCTCTTTGCAAAGGATCATCTCCGCGAAACTTTCTGTTTCAGGTTCTACACTACGCCTACGCCTCCTAGCGTCTCCGCGTCTACCAGAACCACCAGATCCAGACATTGCAACTACACTACTGCAAGGATACTTGACTACAACGGATGCTGCACGTTGGCAGCTCCGCTACCATGCGGAAAATTCAAACCCAAGTTGGTTCAAAAATCCTTTCTACGTAAATCCCAGGACCTACACCCAGATGCAGTTCCTACAACTTACGCACAGCGAAGTTTACGCAAACGCGGTTCCCACACACAAGCTCTCAGGTTCGGAACAGCTCAACCCCTTTTGGACGCTCTCTCAGAGGTGCGGTAGCAAAAACACGAACCAAAGCAAAACAAACAAGCAAGATGGACTAAACCACGTGACTGTCTCAGACTACTGCAGTTTCCTTGGCTTTGAGCCAAAAGCAACCATACAGCTTGACTGCAACAATTGTTTAAACGTTCAAGATCCGAAGATCTTTCTCAAAAAACTCTCTTCAACTAACCAGAGATAGTCAACATCGACACTGCGGTCTCTGATGCCCCCTCAGACGACCGGCAACCCATTTTTGTCATCTCACTATGATGACGGGTGCTCGGTCTGTTGTCATCATTGAGGGACATCGGCAACCACCGTCTCGATGTTAACCTGTCAACCAACAAACTCAAAACGACGTGTCGACTATTCACAGTTACACACACAACTACTAACAAGCAGCCACTCTAAACTCAGTTTAGTCCAAAGTTCAAAGTTCAAATCGGTTCGTCACAGTGCGGAAACTTTCTATGAAAGTTTCCCACAAAAGTAAAGTTCACAGAACGCAACTTTCGCTGAAAAATTCTGTGGGTTTCTGGAAACTCCATTCCAGGTTCTTTGAATTCATAAACACTTTCTATGCATACGATTCCACTTGCATTCAAATGTCCACATTCTTGAATTACTTCAAATGCACTCATGCATTCAAACGTCCTCAATTCAGATTGATTCCAAATGCATGCAAACGTTCACAGAACAATCCAGAACTCTTCAGTGTCATCAAGACATATCCGAAAAGTCTTCCAGGCTTCGCATCTATTCACAAATATTCATGGTTACCATAAAACAGATCCCAACAGATAACAGTCTCACCGCATCCACGAATGTTGTATCAATGCAATATCCAAACAAAATCCCGAACACTAAGATGACACAACCTCAATTGGTCGAGCAATTTGGAATTCGTGACTCCAGTCACCGGAAGAATGCTCGGGTGAGACTACATCAATTGGCTTCCTCAAAGAATGCCAGCATTGAATTCTCCAAAGCAGAAATGCACTTTTTTTTCCGTCCAACGCCGTATGGCTTCCGCCTGGTCGTTCAACATGTTTCCAAGCATGTCTCCAAAGCAGAAATGCACGCCCATCCAAATGTGCACAAAGCCAGAAGCTTTCCTCGCTCACCAGTCATAAATTTCCAGCATTCGTTCTCGGATATCCAGATTCCCCTTAGAACAACGCTAAAGCTGCATGCCTGATCTGTTGCTTGGTCTCTCTGGTCCTACCTTCTGTTCTGCAAGGGGAGTAGGTTGTAGCCGGCGGGAGCTATGGACCAGGCTGCGCTGCAGCGAGTGACACTGGTGCAAACTAGTGGCGCTCTCTTCTGGACAGTCTGGAGCGCCGGTGAGAAGCAAAGCCTGCGCACATGGATCGTGAGGTTCTTTCTCGGATCAGCGGCTAATCAGCTGCCCACTCGTCGGAAGAGTAGTCTCTATTCTGGATTTTAGGCTGACCGTCTAGCACAACTATGCTTGATAATGTCTGGAACGGTACTCTTCTTGACTTGGCACGGGCTGCATGCGTAATACTATTATTGTCTTTTGCAGCTGGATCTCGTAAATAGTAAATTGGAGTGGCTGCATCAAGGCTGCTACAGTCTTGTTGGCTCTTGCACCATTTGCTGTTTGCTTTGCTGTCTTTCGGATGGTGAGACGCAAATCTAGCTGGGGGATCTGCGTCTTGCCTTGTGTTTTTGGTTTGTGTTTTTGGATGTTTTGATTTGCCAAGCTGCATGTGACCACCGGCGTCCATGTAACAGTTTTCTTACTAACAGCTAGACATGTGCATTCAGCTTCCAAAAGTGAAGCCAACCCAGGGGGTACCAGTTCAGGGGGGTCCTATAGGGGGTGCTAAAGGTACTAGGTGGGTCACCACAAGTTCATGGTGGTACCAGCAAGCCTGCTCCCGATTCTCGGACCAATGCCTTTTTGGCGCCTTCTGGATCAAGACTGAGTCGAGACTTGCGTTTTGCAAGACCTTGGAGGAACCAGGAATGATGCGACATATACATGGATGAGGCATGGATTGGGTAGTACCGGGGTGTAGTGTTCGCAGATTGTATTTCACTGAAATGGTTTTGTTCCAAAGCAACTATAGCTACAGCTACAGCAATGCCTAATGTTTTTTCATCGCGACATCCTTTCCATTTGGGAAGTCTGGCCGACACGCCTTCGCCAAGAGGGATTGATCCAGCATCAAAGGCATATGAACAGACCAGTCAGACCAGTCGATGTATTTAAAATCATACAGGCATATGAAAAAGATCCGAGGGTATGGCTGAAATGGCTAATACAAACTGATGTTAAGATATTTGTCAAGATAAACAGATTAGTTTAGACATCTGTTATTCACAAAATATATTTGGTGGATTAGTCAATCCCTCATTCAAAGCGCCCCCAAGCGATCCAGTCTTCGACCATGGATGCCTGTGACACTAGCGGTGTCATGAGCTAACTACTTACGCATTGATGCGATCAGATGGTTTCTGATGCTAAGATTTTAATTAGATACCAAAGCTTGGGTTTGTTCAACATGTGATCCTAAAATCAGTGATCACAACCACCCAAAATTCACTTCACCAAATGTCGTGCATCTTTCGGTGTGCGAAGCACTAGTGCACTTGTCTCGGATCCCGTCTGGTCTGCCTTCTTGACCTTGCTCTGAAGGCACGCGTTGGGGCCGAACTGGGCAACTCTGGTAGCGGTGGCAGTAGCAGTAGAAGCTTGTTCACCTTTACCCTGTGCCTTGCCACCTTTCTTGGGTTTGAACTGCTCACCGGGCCTGAGATGACCATCAAAGAAGTGGTGGGCTTAGTATAAACCCAACATAGCACATGCCTAAAATCACCAAGAGCAAACAAACTTGTTATGGTGCCATAATACATCATACACGAATACACTACACTACACCAAATCAATGAGAAATGACCCCAGGTCCACAGATATTTGAGAACCAACACAGTATGAAACAGTTTGGTCTTAGACTTACAGTATGGCCATGCATGTCAAATGTTTGTGCTGCTTAAGTCTAGGTACAAGAGCCCCCTCTTCAACACAGCGTAGTTTTTGTCGTTGATCTGTTTGACATAGCAGAAGCTGTTGTCATTGGGAATAAGCACACCATATGTGACCTTCACCTTCTCCCCATGGAAGTCGATGGTGTTGAATCTGGTTTCGCAGATCAACCCAGCCTACTCCTTGTCGTCAAGCACGGGAGGAACCATCCAAGCTGGGCAAAACATTGGTGACTGAACTGATGTGTAGCCGTGGCCGCTCACACCAAACTTGATACCACCTGTCGGGAAACATTGGCAAATTGGCTGTCTATTGTCTATTGTGATGTGTTCGGTGATATGATGTTGTGTTGGGAAACAAAACCATGAATATCAACATCAATCATACCGCTGTCGCGAACTTTGAATTAGTCATGAACCATGTAACTCTAACTTGTAACCAGTTGTCTATGCGTAAATGTTTTGAACCCCAGACCGTATGGGACTTCTCCGCCATCCTCTTCAATGGTCACACACAGCGGGATGTTTGTCACCGGTTTCTGTGGGCCCCGAAGTGTGGCAGAACGTGTTGCAGGCCCTGAGACATTCTCGTCCACATATTCACCTGGAACTTGTGGACATGAAGCGACGTAACAAGGAGTGGAATGATTGAGCGGTCCGTGTCCAATGTAGTCTTGACATGATTGAGTGATCATGACTTAAACAACACAGGCCAACAGGAGAGTCGTATCGTATCATTGTCATATCAACATAGCAAACCGTAGGACCAAAAAGCAAAGATACAATCCAAACCCTTTTGTTCATGCGACAGACAATGATGATGACAATGATGACAATGATGATGATGATGATGATGATGATGGTGATGATGATGATGCTGATGATGATGATGAGGATGGTGAGGATGATGAGGATGATGATGAGGATGGTGAGGATGATGAGGATGATGAGGATGATGAGGATGGTGATGGTGATGGTGATGATGACGATGATGATGATGATGACAACGATGATGATGTTGCTGATGATGATGATGGTGATGATGATGGCGATGATACACAAGGAACACTGTCTGACTGATGAGTATGACGGGAAGATAATATAATATTCATGCATTGTGCGCACACTATACCAGACTATGTTGGCTAGGCTTCAATGCTACAGACCGTTCTGAATTTCTACATGCTCATGCTCGTGACAAATACTCTTCTGTCTTCTGGTATTCTTGAGCCTAGTGGCCCACATCACCAAAGAAGATCATCGTCAGATCGGTGACCTTGCAGAACTGAACAGAATCATCCGAAGGGCTTGTCAATATGTTGACATCGTCACCAAGCTCCAAAAGCATCTGGAAGTCCGTGGAACCATCCTTGCCACTCTTCTTGGTCGAAACATCCGCAGGCTCCCCGAGAACATGTATGGTCAGCTTGTCCCAATGCGCAGTGGAGGCACTCCTACCACGGACCAGTGACTAGAGCATACATTACAAGATTACATGTATATCGTCTGTGTGCCTGTGTGACTGTGCGCTGTGTATCTTGGCAAGAGCCATTGTATGGTAAGGTAAACAAAGAACACATGATGCGTGCCCACGTAAAGCTTTTATGTTTATGAAATACTTTGAGTACACAAAATTTACCTAAGGACATCTACAAAGTCAAAAAAAATACATAAACCATCCAACGACATGTCCATTGATTGTTGACCGTGGTTGCTTGTCAGGATAGATGTTGCCTTGATGCTGAACTTGAACAGCCAACCAACTAACCATATATAAACAAAGACACATTAGCGCAGCAGTCCGGCAGTCCTTGCTTGTTGGATCAACTTCGCAGCAATCATCCAACGTAGTTCGAGCATCTGACTCGCCGAAGGCACACTCTTTGAACTCCCAAAGTCAGCAAGCTCGGCCACACTGAAGATGTGATGCGAGGATTGGTCCTCGCCGTCTGGCGCAAGAGATGTAGTTCCACCACTGTCGGCTCCCGTGAGTTTGATGGCTGCAGATGTCATAGGTTTGATCTCAGCTCGGGTCAAAATGGCCTTCAAGTCCAACTTGGCATTGTGAGACAGCATCTCGGTTGCCTCCGTCCACACAGAACAAAACTCTTGCAAACCATTGATGCAGCAAGAGTCCAGGGTCACCAAGTCCCGCTGAATGGTCTTGTCTTTCAAGCTGCTGAAAAGTTGCAACCACGTGTCACTTGAAGCTGAGTTGGCGCACATGTCCACCAAAAGCTGTATCATATAGGTAGCCCTCATCTTGGACAAGGTCACAGCATCACGCGCATCCAGCTGAAGGTGTTTCAGCTCATCGGGAGAAGTCCAACCTGTCAAGGGAACATGCCGCAGACACATATAAATATGTAAGTGAACAGCATCCCTGGGCTACCAGATCCCTAGGAACCCCATCCCTAGGCTACCAGACCCCTAGGAATTCCATCCCTAGGCTACTACGCCATCTAGGAACCCTACAGTAACCCCATCCCTACACTACCCCTAGGAACTGTATCCCTAGGCTATCATACCCCTAGGAACCCCATCCCTAGGCTACCAGGATGATGATGATGATTATGATGATGATGGTGGTGATGATGATGATCATGATGACGACCGGATGTATGTGTACGTGCGTCATCAACCCCTGCCTGCGCTGCACTCTTCCAAGAAGAGATTTGCGAAACAACTCCAAGAATCACCAAATAGATGATGGACTGAACGAGCGACATCGTACATCACATCCTTCATGTCTGGGTCCGGGGTGTGGAACATACATGAAGGTCCGGTGGGCTTTCCCTGATGAGTCTGTGAAGTCGGGGCATTGGCCACATCTGCTCCTGCGGCACGACAAGTGCACGATGTCTGCAGGATGGCTTTCAATTTCCCAAAGGAAGCATGGTCAGACACTGTCAAAGGTGATTCCGTTTGGAGGACTCTGGTAGGCTCATTTGCCATCCACTGGCTCAATGACGAAGACAGCTTCTCGAGTTTCTCAAGCACGGTTGTCGTCTTGTCCACATATGCCGATGCTGGGTCTGAAACCAACTCCTGCAACCGTGTTCGTGTGTGGTCATCTGTCTGTTCATCAGACATCTGTATCAGGTTGGCCATCTTGTGCTTCAACGCCTGGATGCAACGGATGACAGCTGTGGTTGTGTGTGTGTTTCTCCGACCACTAGAGAATGCCAAATCATACAACAATGCAATATCCGAACCAATGTGGTTGATCTTGATTACGAAACTGTTATGGCTGGCCTGTCGGCATGACATGTATAAACAACTATGTGCGTGTGAAACTCTTGGAGACGGTGAGTGCACATGTTAATGATGATCATGATGACTGCTGTTGGTAGACTGCAAACTTGAATGTGAGTTCATAGTCGCCCGAGCCTGGGTTACAACATGCACACCATGCGCTTGCAAAGCAGGACGAAGTAAAGACCACTTGTTGTACTTCTTGGTGTTTTTCTTGGTCGTCACATTCACCTCACCCAAGAACGCAAAACGCAACCCCAAGCGGACAATGCTGGTCTTGGCTTGGTTCACAACAGATTGCTCTAGCACATCGCCAAACTGTGCCTGTAGACATCGCACTGTGTGATTGGCACAAGACACCAGGCAATCCACCCAGAGCTTGTTGCGCACACCATACTGGCAGTCGATAGTCATCTGGTCAAGATCCCGCTCTGGTGGTAGGTTCACATCCAAATCACCCGCTGCTTTTGCTTTGCTCTTGGCTTTGGCCTTTGCCCTAGACTTTGTGGTTGGATTGTTGGCTTTGCGTTTGCGACCACCACCACTCTTTGAGGTGCCTGCCACCACTGAGCCAATCATTGCAGTGAACAAGCGATGAACCAGTTGCTTCTTCTGGAGGTTGTCAAAGATCCAAGATGGTTCGTCTTCTTCACCCAAGTGCGGAACCTGCGCGAAACAGGATTCACACCTTGTCGATGTCTCATGTATGGCGTGTAAACTGTGTGATGAGCGCTCATGCATGAGTCATGCACCTGTGGTCATGCGTGCATAGGTGTGCCTCCTTGTTCTCCTGTAGACCTAACTATACCTTTGTGGTTGTCGTCCAACATATTATAGCATATAGTCGTTAACATGATAACATGAGAACATGCATTAAGTCAAAAAAATATGTTCGTAGATTGTGTGTATACCTGACATAAGACATATGTGCTTTTGTGTTTTACATGTTCGTACTGATTGGCGTTCACTATAACATATATACTGTTTTATTATATATATATGTGTGTGTGTGTAGCTGTACGACTGAAATGAAAGCTTAAACGGTTTGGTAAGTAATGTGGGGTGACATGCGACTGTGATGATGTGCCAGGCTTGTGATTTGTGAAGTATCGATCATGTCAGGTGTCGATAGAAACACAAACACCGACTGGTCTTGACAAGAAACACAAAGGTTCAAACACTCAACCAGCAGCAGGGTCAAGTCTTCCTCTGCAACCCCGTCGTAAAGAGTTTGGACCAATGAAGTTCCGATGTGCTGCATGGACTGGAGGACAATGGTGTTCGAGAGGCGTGGGTTCATGAAGTCCACGCTCATACACATCGATTGCCATAGGTCCTCAAAGAACTGTTCACCACGTTTTGTCACAAACAACTGATGGCATCCACGGGCCGCCTCGAATAGGCGCCATTCACCAAAAACTTCGCCAAATTCAGGATGGGTCTTCACGTAGTTGGCGCCTCAACCGATGGCAGACAGGGTGTCACAGAGGGGCCATTCACTACATTGTTTTTTTTTATTATTGTCAAACAGTTTACCAATAGGTATGTTCCCCAACAACGATCCACCCAAACAAAACCAACATAGGGTTTTTAATCGTCTATAGTCTGGCTTGTGGAAAGAATTAAATGATTTGTAACACCCATCACACATCACATTGGTGATTCAACTGGTGAAGTATATGTTCATTTGGTTCATGGTTCATGAAAGATCATCAACCATCAGGATATCAAGCTATCAAGTTATCAAGTAGTGAAATCTTGATTTATTGGTATAATAACGGAACATGTGATTATATAAACGTATATTCAGCACGCACGATGTGCCAAAATAAATGTTTAACCCATTTCAGCTTGGCGTCATTTGGACTCGTAGTCGGGCACCTTCCACGTCAAACCTTGAGTTTGCTTCCAGGTGTTGAGAGCTATGTCGACCTGGACGGATGTGATAGCAAGGCGGGATGAAAATAATCTTGAGTTCATGGATTGGGATTGGGATTGGAATCTGGGAAATGGTCAAAGTCACAGTCTTGAAAGTATCATTTGAATCCCGTACTTGTCACATATGGGTTAGGTGTCACATGTTCAGTTGAGATACGATGAGATGCCATGACTGTAATCGATGACTGGTCATAACTCTTGACTCATGACCTCTTGAGCTACAACAATTTACAACAATGATAGTTAAACAAAAACTCCATCAGCCAAATGCTCGCATACCCATAGCAGTGCCTGCGGAGCCTGTCTGATAAGCTCCAAGAAGTTGGTGCTGGCGCCATGGTGAAACTGGTTGTGAAGCGTCGTGAGGTAACGGCATATGTTGCCGGGCGTTCGTGAGGAGAGAATGCGAGCTTCAATGCCTTTACGGCATGTGGTCAGCAAGTTTTCGTTCTCGCTGTCCTCAGTGATGGCTTGATAAAAGGCCTCAATTAGAGACGCACAACTCAGGAGAAGATGTGGGCCTTTGCGGCCATCCTGCACCTCCTCCGGCGCCACTGCCCACATTTCACCACGGACCGATTCCACGATCCCCCTGGCCTTCACCGAACGCACATACGCTTGCTTTACACCCGCTTGGTTGCGAGGGTTGTAGATCATGTGTCTTCCCAAGTTCTTGGGTTTCTCCGAAAAGGGAATGTTCGGGTTGTTGTCGGTACCGTCTTGAAAGAAACGCAAGGTTTTCTTCCCTTCCCCAACCTGAAAGGCCGGGTCAGGTGATGCCATCCACACAGGATATGAATATGAATATGGTGGGCAACATCTTCCTGGAAGTGAACTGTTGAATCATGTTTTGTTTTCGAATATGATTGAATTTCATCTCAACATGATTGAACATGTAGAATCAAAAATCGCTAGGCATACCCATTGACCATGTCAAACCCGCCAGTGATTGTGAATGTGCCTAAATATCATTCAGATCAACAGTAGGTAAGTAGAGTCATGGTGGGCGAAATCATTTGAACACTGAACAGCAATACAAGATCACAATATTACAAGATTACTTGGTGGTTTGTTGTTTTGAGTTTTCACTGTGGCCTGGTACAGTTCAAAGAGCTTGTCAAGGAGAACACGCCCCTTCACATCACCCGTGAACAACTGATCAACGGTCACGTCCTTGTCCCAAATGTTGACACCATCACGTAGTGTCACCGATTGGGTGCCGGAACTTACGGCCATTGCCCCAATGGCAGCGATTGGGTGATTGGCCAACGACAAAGAGAGAAGCAATTGTTCGAGGACACACCCCAAAAATAGATAGCCAAAATAGCTTGCAGTAAGTTGGATACTGTTATGTACTTATGTACGCATAACATGATCAGAAATAGAAACTATTATTTCTGGTATTGGTGGCTGCTAGTTACCCTACGCAAACGAACCCCATAGAGTTAAGGCTGATGATCACCACGAACCCTTATAGAAAAACACAAAGAACCCTTGGCATCGTTGATGCATCAAATGAAAAATCTTGCAACTCAAATGACCTGCAACTGTGAAAAATTGAACGAAACTCCTGATCTCACTCGCTCCTTTTCTTACACCAGTGACAACGGGCTGTGCAAGTATGAAACGTCGACCTGTCGCTCCAAAGTTGTTGCCACCAGATCCAGCAATCAAATAAATCGCTGGCAAGAAAAACTTTCAAGTGGTGCTTCCGATTTGTATCTGCAATTCAGTGTAAGGATCCCCGGTCAAGAAGGGGGAGTTTGGGACCAAGAGTTTTCGTCTGAGTTTGCGTCCAGTGGCAGTACAGAGAGTGAAACCATCAATCATGCCGTGGAGAGCCAACACTCTGACTAAATTTGCTGTAGGGAAATCTGACGATGCTACCAGTGACTCTGACCGGGGTTTGGAACATGTTGGCCTGGAACCCAGTGCTGTGAAACCTGGACAGTTGCACGGAGCTGGAGCCTCAGAGGATATCCTTTTTGGAGTTTTTGCGGAAGACGTGCATGAGACAGGGCGCAATGAGTTTCAATGGGAGGAGCCTGGCCTTGTTAAGGGTCGATGCTCGCCGAGACAAGGAGCTTTGGACCTCAAGGCAAAACTGGTGCCGAGGGGTCCCACACTCAATGAGGCAAGTTTTGAACAGCACTTGTCTCATGCATTTCTCAGCACCAGAGGACAGGTTAAGGTTGTCATGCCATGGGAAAAAGGAGTCTTCAAAAAGATCTTCAAGAAACAACCAGAAGATCAGTTGCAGAACCTTTTCAAGCAGCCTCGTCACTGGGTGGGGCTGGATGCAGTGCCTGAAGTGGAAACGAGTGAAGAGCTGTCGTCGGCTACTGGCAGTCGGCACCAACTGGTCGGGGCCTTTTATGAGCATGCATTGTCATCAGTTTCTGACCAGTCCTTCTTGCAACAGCGTCAAAGCATTTTGGAAACTGCGGTAGAGAAATGGTTCTGCATCATCAGAGTCAACATGCTTGCCTCTTCAATTGGGCATGACATCATTGGTTTGGGCAACATGGAGGAGCAGAGAAAAGGTGCATTTCAAATCATAGAAGCGGTGATAGGTGTCAGATCCAGAACCACTGCAATCACAAGGGCCAACGCCTTGCTCAAGTTCTTGCGGTGGAGAGCGGACAACTCAGACAGTGATGGAAAAGATTTTTCAGAAACAGAGGCATGGACCTATTTGATTCATCTGAGAGAAAGCAGCGCTGCGCCCACAAGGGCTACAAGTTTTCTGTCGGCTTGTGCCTATGCGTTGCATGTGTTCGGTTTCTTGGGACTGGAAGCCATCTGCTCTAGCAGGAGGCTCAAAGGTTTGGCGGAGTTGATGCATTCTGCAAAAGCCCCTCTGAAACAGGCCCTGGTTTTGACAGTTGGCCAAGTGATGTTCCTTCATGACAAGCTGGCTGAACAATCATGCAACCATGTGGATAGAGCGATAGTGGCATATTTGTTGATTGCCCTTTATGGCCGCTGTCGCCATAGTGATTTGCAGAATGTCGAGGATGTTATTCTTGACTTTGGCCCTGAGGGTGGGTTCATGGAAATAACAACCAAAACCCACAAGACAGCACGAACGGTGGCGCAGAAAACCAGGTTGCTGCCCATAGTGATCCCGGCGGTTGGCATCAATGGCAGCGAATGGATTTCGGAGGCGAAAAGTGCCCTGGAAGAGTATGGCCTGAAGTTGGAAGGCCACATTGGAGGCCCGTTGTTCAGACCCCCAGGGTCATCGGGTGAGCCCCATTGCAAGAGAGGAATCACCTCGGCAGAGGTCACCCGCTTCCTGCGCCTCATGCTTGAGGATGAGGCATCGATCCAGAAGGATACAAGGGTGTCATCTCACTCGTTGAAAGCCACGGTCTTGTCGTGGTGTTCCAAGGCTTGCATGGAAGCTTCAGACAGAGCTGTCTTGGGAAGACACACCAGCGCTTATGGAGAGTCGAGTGCAGTCTACGCTCGAGACCTTGCAATTGGTGCTGTGTCCAGGTTGCAGGAGGTGCTGAAGAAGATCCATGGAGGAGAGCTTTGCCCTGATGCAGCCAGGTCAGGGTATTTCCTGTTGCAGGCCCAGACATGTGAGGTCGAATTGCCGCTTGAGAGAGAGGTGGTCAAAGTTGAAGATGAACAGACTGAGGAGGAGCAGGCAATTGCAGCTCCCGACAAGGAACAAGTGCCTGATGAAGAACAATTTGATGGCTCTTCTGACAGTTCGGAGTCAATGGAAGGCTCGGATTCAGGAGATGAGGTGGTGGAGCCCACCCCCAAGTGTTTTAGACACTTTGCCGTTGGTCCTCTCTCAGGCAGATTTGTGATGCACGATGTTTCGAAGCTGGTCCATTATGCAGACCCAAGTTTTGTGGACGGTCGAGGGGCCAGGATGATTTCATGTGGCAGATCGTTGAACCAGAACTATAAATACATCACTCAATTTGACTCAGTTGATGTATGCAAAAGATGCAAAAGCAACGCTGTCAAAGACGGCGCATTACCGAAAGCACTTGCGTAAGGAGAAAAGGTCGCACGGCAGGGTCTAGTGGTACTAGCTGCATGGCAGTTAGGAACATGTTGTGACCTTGTCCAAGATGTGCAAGGCAAGTGCTTGGGAGGATCTTTAATTTCTTTTGGAACTTGGGTTGCGTGGCACCCTGTCAATGGCATGCTTTGGAGCGTGGCTCATAAGCACTGCGTGGGAAATCATGAAAGCACGGCCTTTGGATTGTTTTAACCTCATGTGATGCATGATCATAATAGTCGAGTTACAGTGCCAATATTGAACTGTCCAATTCAACGAACTGGAGGGCAGGCAACAAGGCAGGAAGTCTATCAGGTCATTCCACAGCATGCTGTTGCATCATTTTGGAAAAAACAGTGTTTTCTAGGAGGGATTATAGTCGCGTCGACGCATTGGCAATGGCAAGTTTACTGGATTCAGAAGCTCAGTTTGTTCAACGCACCATTGATTTGAGGCTGTCAGATGAACTGAAGAGAAGCTTGAGTAGAGCTGGTTTGCAAACATTTGGAACGTTTGCCTATGCACATGGGCAGCCTGGACAGAACATTGCGGATGAAAGCTTTGAAGCATGGGTTACAAATCAACTGATGACGGGAGCCACAATAGCAGATATTGCGGGTGCCAAACGTCTCCTATTTGAGAGTCAAACCATGGTCTTAGCATCCTTACAGGATCAGGTCAATGCTACTGACCCCTCCTCCATCAAGAAGGTGCCGGTGGCTGAGCGTGAAACCAAAATGCGAGCGATCAAGAACAGGCTAACCGGCCTCCTTATAGAAGGGCCACTTGAACCCGGTCATGCACTCCTTGACACTACGGCAAGTATGATGCAGCTCAATGAAATCAAATACATTCCTCCTGAAAAATGCATAGCGAGGACCCATGAAGTTTTGAATCAAAAGTCGGCAACAAAACAGTTGGATATCTCAGCAGAGAGTTTGATTGTGAAGGAAAAGCAGGATACCCCCGACATGACAGTCACTTCAGCACTTCAAGTGCAAGAAGCTTTTCAGCGTCGCGGCATAGCGCTGGTGTTCGCCGACCTCATCACCCATGAGAGCTACACCAGGTACCTTATCACTCTTTTTGGACATTTGCATAGGGACCCACCTGCGGGATATGCCAGGACCAATGTGAGCCAGCTTGTGAATGCTGACAAATCTGTATGGCAGATGTTAATGGAGGAGGGTGTACGGCCCAAAAGGGATGAGACGGGGGTGCTTGCTTTGGATTCAAAGCTGTTGGAGAGTCTCCAGAGCTATCGTGTGTCCTTTTCCTTGCTGCCGATGATTGCCAAGAAAGACAGCACTCCGAGCCCATCCAAGACAGCCAAACCTTCTGTGAGCCATGGTGGAAAGGGTGCAAACTTGTCCGTGCAGAAACCCTGGATCAAGTCGAAAGGTGGCAAAAAAGGTGGCAAGGGAAAAGTTCGAGTGCCAAACCACATTTTCAAATTGGGTGGCACTGCGTCAAACCCAGCTGAAGAAGCGATTTGTTTTGGATTCAATAGCAGTTCAGGATGTTCAGAAGCAGCCGATGGAGCAAAGTGCAGACGTGGCCTCCACATCTGTGCAAAGTGCTATGGAATGCATGGAATCCAAAAGCACGAGTCCACTTGACTCAATGAGCAGCAGGCCGACGGTGAAATCCTTGCAAGTAATCCATCGAACCGATGTGTCAAGGGCCCAGACGTTTTTTCCAGTAACAATTTTTCAGTTTCAGTTGCTTCCAGTGATTCATGCAGAAAGCGTGTTGAAGATGGCAACTTAATTCAGCAGAGAACCAATCACACTTTAGCGATGACTGTTAGTGATGTTGGTGCCAGTTTTGATCACATTTGTGCAAACCCAACCAGCAGCAATGATTCAGCCTGCATAGCCGAAACCCAAGCGCATCGAGAAGAGCCTTCAGTTGGGAACCCAGCAGACTTGGATGGTGTAGTAAACCAAAACCTGTGTTCCGATGTCAATTCAATGCAAACTTCAGTTACAGATGGCTTTGCATTTAATGAGGAGCAGTTGACATGTCCAGTTGTTATTGAAATTTTTTGTGGCAGTGCCAGACTTACAGCCAGCCTCAAAGAGGTTGGGATAAAGGACGCATTTGGAGTAGATCACAAGCTTGACAAAGCTGTTGCAACGGCGAAACGTTTGGACCTTACTGTGGAGTCAGAGCAACGAGTTCTTTTGCAGTGGTTGGAATCACCGTT